ATAAATAAAAATGCATGAGATATAAGCATGATGTGTGTGCATTGTGTCTGATGTGTATAGAGCAAACCAAATGACAGATCACAGATAAACACAGCAACAACAACTAAGCCTTACCCCAAGTAACTTGATGATGAAGCACACTACACTAATAATTGATATTGATGAATACAACAACAACCACCCAGTAGAATCCCACGAAAGAAGGGTTTGGGAAGGGTGTGTGTACGCAGACCTTACCCCTACTCGAAAGTAGAGAGGCAGTTCTAGAGACCTCCGGATTGAGCAACGCACAAGACACACAAAGCACGAACATGTTTAAGAAAAGAGCAAACTAAGGGTGAAGGAAAGCGCAAAAAGACAAGATGCACCAAGCAAAAAAAGCACACACGACAAGGGCAAAAACTCTGACCTAAGGCCCAAAGTATTATTCAACTACCTTGATCCTAGATCTATAGATGCTCCTATCAAAGGTCATATCCTCGGTAAGGACCAAATAACCTAAGTCATGTCTAATCACCTCTTTCCCATTCTTCCTATGTTTGACCCTTCCTTCACCCCCGCCCACTACTATAAGCCTCTCACATCTCCATACTGAGGCCTTAGCGCTGCATCGCTTCACCTGCCCAAACTACCTCAACCTAACTTCCTGCAACATATCCTCCACATATGTCACTCCCACTCGTTCCCGTATAATCTCACTTAGAATCCACAGATGATGAACGTTGGTTTTATTAACCACCCATGGTTTGACAACGGACCGTTAGAACTTGCCTTTAATCCTTGGGATTCCTTGCCTAAATCTTCTTGTCGCTGAGAGCCAATGAAGCCAACATCCACTTTGCGCGACCAGCTCCCATATAGTGAACTACACTGAAACTTATCATTCTTAACACTGGCTGCGACTTAATCCTAATTTCCACATCTAATTCAGTCACCGAGCATTCTAAGTATTCATATTGGTGAATACAGCAACATAATACGTAGTAAAACTAGTAATTGATATTGAAGCACACAACTCCTGACATATCATTTTTATGGAGGTTGAAGCTCTATCAAAGTGCATAAGCTACTCATAGATGAATCTGGACTTACTTTCTACACAACTGAACAATCTCTGTACTAAGCTGATTCACTCGATCCAGTCTCTCTACATGTCAAAATGCAAAATAGTTATGTTTGGGCATTGGAAGAAAGAGAACTCGATGCAAAGGGACAATTTTTTATAGGAAACACACCAGGGGAAAGATGAATTCCGCCATTCTCCAAATCATCGCGTAAAAAATGAGCTGCTCTCTTACCTTCATCTGTGAGTGAATCTCCTTCGTTTTCTGCTTTTAACACAGCCTTATATATACTGTGATTTGAATTCAGGTACTGCAAAACACGAAGTAAAAGTGCTATGAACACTGTTATGATCATATAAAGTACAAACTAACCAGATATGTACAAGTACAAAGGAAGCTGTCTGCTTTCTTACGTGTAAAAAGTTATTAAGTCTTGAAGAAGCCCGGCTCGCCTCCTCAACAAATTCCCTATTGATCAAATGAAATCCATATTTTAGCTCTATGGCATTTAAAAAAAGACAATCCTAGACGTTAGGAGTACATATTCATTCGATGCAACTCCCGAGCAAAAATGCAGACCTATCTGGATGAGTATGTCTACAGAGCTCGGCAGCATCAATCACTGAGCATACCTGTAACACAAAAGTCCTTCAGAGATACCCTAGCATTCTAGAGTGAAAGTATGAAAGTGAAGCTGTACATACCGTATCTGATATTTCATCTAATTTTCGAATGATTTCTGGAGCAGACGGCATAGAAGCAATGTGATTCAGCAGTTCTGTAGACCTGGTAAGCATAACCAAACGTACTATTGTTAATAAACTGACAATGAAGGGGTACTTCTTCAACCAGAGTGGCTGCGAGAATTGGATTGACACCGAATTAGCTTCGTCTATTTCCGATTTCTCTCTCGCGTACCTCTCGATAGCATCTTCAGCGAAGCGTTGGAATCCTTTGGCGGTTTTCAGGTGACTGTAGCCGTAGAGACCAGTGTCGTTGATGATCGGTGCCGTGAAGGTACTTGCAGTGCGGAAGAATTGGAGTTTGCAGCCGAATATGGCGGAGGACCTCCGGATAAGTGCGTACATGGTGCAGCCACCCCGCCGCCGTGTGATGCGCGGAAACTGAAAACTCTGAAATCCGATATGCTAAGGGTACACTTTATTTTCTTTTAATTTTTTACTTTTTTTAAAAAATTTTTTGCCGGGTGATGGAGGGGGTGGGGATGTTTGGGGTACAACAAAGGTGTACCCCTAGCATTTTCCATCCAATATGGGTTCTACTAAAGCTAGCCACTTGAGCTTACCCCTTCAACAATATTATTAGGAAGAAAAATACTAGCGGTACACCTTTAGGTGTACCCCAAATGTCCCCCACCCCCTCCTTGTCCACAATAATTGGCAAGAAATTCAAAAAATAAATAAATAAATAAAAATCAAAAAAGACGTGTGGTGGAGAAGCATGTGGTGACCAAACTTTCAAACTTTCAAAAAAAATCTATTAGGAATATTAATACGGAGTAATATTATATTCCCTTCAATACATATTACGTAGTAAAACTTTTTAAAAATACATTTAAAAAATTGAATAAATGTAGACACGTACCTTGTTTAAAACAACAATTTCGATGAGCGCTAGTTTTTTGATAAAATTTTAATAGTTTAGATTAATTCTAAAAATGTACGTTAACGTATTGTTACTAGCAAGTTAGCCCGGTATTCAATCCCAACATTTCTTTTACTTACTTGAAGCGCAATTACAATGCCAAACAATGTAGGTCCTTGAAATTGAAGGCTTAGAGTCCCAAAACAACATGTGGATGAACCTGGTGAGCTACACAATCACCGACCTCGGAGGATCTACTTTCGTTAACAACATCGTGATTCAATGTAGGTAAAAGAATATAACAAGTGGTGGCTATTGTGGGATCCACTTGCTGATTGGCCTCGGCAGTGTCACATTGCCGTTTCTTTCTTAGGTCTATGTCTCCTCTTTCTTAAATTTATAATTTTACCACTGAATATACAAAAGAACAGTACAACTGGAAGGTTTGTTGATCGAATTGCGTCAATCTCTAATACAAAATGAATTATATTTTCTTTAAAATTTTAGGACAATCTATATATCAAATGGTCAAATTTTATATTGGTTTGATTGGCTTTAGGGAAATATTATGTGTCAAATTTTAAATATTTTGGTGGAATGAGCCTAGTTAGTGAAATATAATTTGGATTTTATATCTATTGCACAAATTGATATAGAAATAAAAATACAATACAAATCCTACATTTTAAAACTAGATTAAAATATTTACAAAATAAAATATGACAAGATTATTTTATTTTTTAAATTACCAAAAAATAACAAAAGTATCAGCTGGTCAAAATAAAAACATGTAAATAAATATTGTGTACCACGTATAATTTATCGATAGACCAACAATATTTCGTAAATAATTGTGCAATCCATTTTTGAACAGAGAAACTATTAGCTTAAACTTAAGGTAGAAGGCCAAGCACATTTTTATAAGTGTGAGTAGTGAGGAATTATCGAATTGATCCTGAGAATCTCAACAACCGAGCATATATATACCAATATAGTGTAAATATAATAATCTTTTTATATTTTTTATTAAGCAATAAGTTTAGTTTGAAAGTTTGTAAAATACAGAGTATAAACTAAGTTTATAAACATTTCTTGAATTTTATTAATAAATTTTACTTTTGTATGTTTTTTATTTAAATGTACTTTTGAATTTTAAAAAAATTAAAGGGTTTGGTTCATATTAAAATATAAATTAGGTATGTTAGTATGTATGTATCATCTCGATTTGGACCAAAACTAATACAGAATCATATTGAACTAAAATTTTGGGATCGTTCCTTCAAAAAAAATCCATGATCGAGAGCGTGACCAAAATATGTATGTACAATTTTTAAATAAGAACGATATCAAATCTGCAAGTTATATAGTATAGCCAGCTGTGGTTTGAAGAAGCAACAAGCAAATTTCCGGGACGATCCTGAGATCGCGAGGAGCAGCAAAGACGATCGCAGTGCACTAGATCGACGAAGGTGATGGTAGCGAAAATCATAGATGGTGGCTGCGTCGTTACAAATCAAAAAGTTGCCGATGTCGAAACCCTACATAGAAGATTTTAGCGAGAAAGAAGGGTTGCAGATTTGAGAGGCTCCAGCGATATTGGAATGAACAGTAAATTAGTTAAGAATGAACAGTATTACATTTGAGAATAAATACCATTTTATTTTAAAATGAACACTACGTTATTTGTAAATGGATATTATAATTTTATTGGATACATGTGTGAAAAAGAATATTGTACTCCCTCCGTCCCAAATTATAATGCTTGTTCACTATTCACAGGGTCAAACTTCATTTACTTTCTTTCTCTATTTTTGTTAGGAATTTGATAAAATAAAATATTGTTGTCACTACTAGTTTTGTAGATCTTTTGATGTGGTATTTTGATATGTAATTTTTATTTTTTAACTCTATACCATTTGTCATATAAAATGATTTGAAAATAACTTCAGTCAAACATCGTAAACAGAAACATGCGTTATAAAATGGGACGGAGGGAGTATTATTTCAAAATAGTATAGGATTATGAGTATTATTTTATTTTAAAAAGTAAGTTTTTTATTCGAAACAATAGGCACTCTATCATACCGGCATATCTTAATCATAATCACGCCTAAAGTTCTAAACAGCTAAACTTCCAAGCTTTCATATTTCCCGCGATAATTCATCTTATCTCTACACCAAGCCCAACCACCTCCAACCTCCATCTCTGAAGAATGTCTGCAAAATTCGAGCTCGAATTCCCGCATCAATGTCCATTATCCTTATATAGGGTTTGTCATTTTTTCGATCCTATTGAATTCCTGTATAGATGCTCTCGTATAATTCCCCAAATGCGCCGGTAGATCTATTATTCGTCTGCACGCTAGAATGAACCCGGCCACGATAGCGATATCCACTGGAATTTGTAACAATGTCGAGCGATCACAATACAGATCCGTGGAGGACCTTGAATCCAGACACGGTTAATGATCCACGGATGTTCTCAAACCAGATGGATTTGCCTTCCACCTTGAAGCTCACATGTGAGATTCCTCTGATCCCTCGCCACCGTGCCGAGGAGGACATCATAGATGGTGATGGAAAAGAAGATCCATTGGTTATCGAGGGTCGGAATCTTGGTCTGAATCACATTAGGACCCGCTCATCAGCTTTGTCGCCGCGGAGGCTTTCGACTGCCATTTCAATGCCGGTTGATTGTGGAAATGGAATCGATTCACAGTCTGGGCTGTTATCTACAACTGATCAGTCTGTTGAGAATTTCTCTGAACATGGTCATTCTTTTCTTTCCCCTTTTGCAGTCTCATGACAATTTCTGTTTTGACTTGCTCAAAAACTTAACCAGTGAGAATGAACCGTGAAATTTATGATAGGAAATCACCCTAAATAGGAGTAAAACATAGAAAAGGTTCCAAAATAGGAGCCCCACGTTTTTATCTCAAAATAAGAGTTTGCACGGTGGTAATGTGACACTGTATATGAATATTTCATAATTTTTTTGGTAATGTCATGATTGACACTATATATGCATTTTAACTCCTATTTCGGTAATTAAAACATGGAACCCCTATTTAGGTATATTTTCAATGTTTTACTACTACTTTAGTCTTTTTCCCTAGGTTATTTATCTCCATGATTAGGTGTTCTCTCTTTTTTCATGTTCCAGGTAAAAGGATACAGTGGAATCAGGCTAATTCATTGAATGTCCTGTCACGCACTTGTTCGGGTTCGGAGGTAGTTTGCATGCTCTGTCACTTGGTTCATGGGACTATTTTAAATTTCATCATATAATTAAGTTATTTGAAAGAAACTTAGCTAGGTAACTCAGCTTGTGCTCTTTATTATCAAAATTTAAAAGCCACTTTGCTTATTGTAGGATTATCATGCAGCTTTTGTTAAGGAAATGAGATCTCCACGGTGTCAAGCTATATTACGTGTCACAAATGGTCGGAGGAAAAGGGTTACAGACATCAGAAGTCTCTCTCATGAGCTCAATTCCAAAGGAGGTCGATCCCTTCCATTCTGGAGGTCTCGTGCTTTTGGGCGAGTGGAGGTATGAATTTTATATTCTAGAGAATGAGCATTGCTTATCTCAATTTTCTTTGTTCATGAAAAGTAACTGTATGAATATTTTTTAATAACTTATCATTTTTATAAATACAATTCTTAGGAAATTATGGCCATGATTCACTCAAAGTTTGATAAATTAAAGGAAGAGGTAAACAATGATCTAAGCGTTTTTACTGGGGATATAAAGGGTATTATTGAGAAGACATCTGAGTCCAATCTTGAATGGAGGAAAAGTTTGGAAGATTTGTTGGTTATAGCCAGGGAATGTGCACAAATGTCACCTTCTGACTTCTGGCTGAAGTGTGAAAGTATTGTTCAGAATCTAGATGACCGCAGGCAAGAGTTGTTGATGGGCACCGTCAAACAAGCCCAAACTCGCCTCTTATTCATACTCACGCGGTGCACTAGGCTTGTACAGTTTAAAAACGAGAGTTGTTTTGAAGAACACGTAGTGGCATCTCACAGACTCTGTGATCATGGGGCCCATGCAGAACAAACAGTTAGCCCTTTCAGCCAATATATGAGCAGTCCATTAAATGGGAAGGAAAAAACTTTGAGAAGAATTAAGAAAGGTCAAGGGCATGACCATACCAGTTCAACAGCTAATCAGTATCAGATGAAGGATTATGATGGTGGACGGGTGATAGAAGAAAGCCATATGAAGAGTGTTGCTTCTCATACAGGAAGCTCAACAACGTCCTCTTGGAAGAGACATCCATCTGCAGCTGAAAGAAAAGGCGAGGTCCATGAATCTTTTGGCACCTGTACCTCGCCCTCTATTAAGTCTGATCACTTGCAACACAAAGCAGCAGACTGGGATCATCATAATATCTCGTATGAAGATTCATTCATGTGTCGCATATGTGAAGTTGAAATACCTACTATATTTGTAGAGCAACATTCCAGAATTTGCACAGTTGCTGATAAATGTGATTTAAAAGGGTTCACAGTTAATGAAAGACTCCAAAGACTTGCAGAAGCTCTTGAGAAGATACTTGAATCATGGACAGTGAAAAGTATTGACAATGAGATAGGAAGTCCAGAGTTAGTAAGATTGTCTGCTTTGGCCATGTATAAAGAGATGGATGAATTGTCAACAAAGCAGGACGGTCTGTCTTGTCAATGCTCTGAAGACATGCTGAATTGCATCCATGAGTGTGATACCATTTCTGTTACGGATCTAAACAGTCTGTCTGAAACGCCTAGGAAGGGTTCTCCAGCAGGCACCCCAATATCTCGATCACCACTGCTGACACCACGAACTAGCCAGATTGCACTACTTTTGAGTGGACTCAAGATGATATCTGAATATGAAAGTTATCAACAGGTATTTCAGAGGACTATCTTGAAGACCTGAGTATTGATTTGACTGATAAGTGCTTCTATTTGAAGTGAATAGATAGAAATGAACTTGCAAATTCTTCCTTCATAGCTTTTCTCATGGATTGAGCTTTTATTTGAAAGTTCTAGTACACAGTTGAGTTGTTTTTTATTTTGACAATTTCTTTTTCTAAGTGCTATTTTCTTTAAGAATGAGAACAATTTTGCTTGATATGTGGTCTTAATAGAATATTTATCCTTTGATCATGTTATTTGGACTTCACTTGTCATTTCATCTTTATTGTACTTTATTATTTTTTCATGATACTTGGACACTTTATGTTGGGCAGTAACCCAATCCTACACTGAAGAAAAAGAAGAAGATTAGACTCAAATTGAAGTGTATAGGTGGTAGTTGGGTGCATTGCATTGGTAAACAATGACCTGTGACTAGTGAGAATATTTGGTGTTAAGCATTTTAAACCCATCTAAACTGACAAAAGTTAGTTTCTAAAGGTCAAATACGGGTTCAAGAGCAGGGAAATTTTTTTGTTTACAGTAAGCCAAATACTGGTTGTTTTTGTTATGACTTATGAGCATGGTGGACATTCACGTGTATTTCAGATATTATAATTTTCATTATTATGCTCTCCTTACTCCTTTTTAGTACAGATTAAAAAGGTAATGCCTGTTATATGGATCTGTTTTCTATACACAAACTTCATTTTTCCTCCCGTTTCTCAAGTTTCAATAACCATATTGACTGGCATGGCAGATAAATAAGCTGCTGCATATTGCTCGATCAGTTGTCCTCATAAACAACAATGATTACAATTCCCTGGAAAATTTGCTTGATCATCTAGACGACCTGAAGTATGCGATTCAAGATAGAAAAGTTGATGCTCTTGTTGTGGAGACCATTGGGAGGCGGATAGAAAAATTGTTGCAGTGAGTTGAATAAATTTTTGTGCATTTAATCACTAGATATTATTGTTACCTGTTTCAAATGCACACTCCATCCAAAAAAAACTTGTTTTGAATACTGATTCAGTGTTAGAAACAGATTTTTGGGGGGGATGGATGTAGTAATATACGAGTATATCTGTTCCTTCTGCTGATTAATTCCTTAAATTGTTGCTTTTTTCTCATGCCCATTGACCATGTTATCAATTCTCAAAAATCAACAGCGAGAAATATGTTCTACTTTATGGACATATTGAAGAAGAAAAAGAAGATTCACCAACTAGTGCAGCTGATGAGGATTGTTCTGTTGATGAGGACACATTACGTAGTTTGCGTACAAGTCCTATCCACCAATGCTCAAAGGAGCGAACGTCTATTGAAGATTTTGAGATAATAAAGCCAATCAGCAGAGGTGCTTTTGGGCGAGTATTCTTGGCTAAAAAACGAGCCACCGGTGATTTGTTTGCAATAAAGGTTAAAGTTTATATCCTAGAGGAATAAATGGTTAAGGTTTTCTACAGCATCCAACATTTTTTCCAATTCTACTTTCGTCTAGTCTAAATTTGAGCCGGAATAAAGTTTTAAAAAACTAGTCACCATAACCAACATTATATATAATTAATCCAACAATTGTAGACTAGTTACCATAACCAAATATTATATATAATTAATCCAATAGGACTGCTATGCATACAACTAAGTTTGCCCCTGATTCGCTTGGTTCTCGCTTGATGGATTTTATTGTTGTTGTTGTTGTTGTTGTGTGGGAAATTAATCTAGATTTATTTGTATACCTTTATGATTCGTAGCTTCCTGTAATTCAGCACTGGAAACTTGCCTTGATACTTCCTCAACATCTCTGCATTTGTGAGGCTTCACAGTTCTTTACAGTTGCTGATGCAATCGAACCTTTTTTTCAGGTTTTGAGAAAAGCTGATATGATACGGAAAAATGCTGTAGAGAATATTTTGGCTGAACGCGATATCCTAATTTCAGTTCGCAATCCATTTGTGGTTAGAAAATCTCCAAATTGATTATTCATTCACACTTTATCCTCTCTCTTGCATGGTTACAGGGAATTCTCAAACCTGATTTTACTAATCCAAGATCTGATGGGAACAGGTCCGGTTTTTCTACTCTTTCACATGCAGGGATAATCTTTATCTTGTCATGGAATACCTAAACGGAGGAGATATTTTCTCTTTGCTTAGGAACCTTGGCTGCTTTGAAGAAGATATGGCTCGTGTATATATTGCTGAAGTTGTAAGCACATACTGATACCTCGTACTCTATCCAAGGAATTTCAACAAACTGTTTTTCATGGAATGATCCACCTTTGTTTTTGTTATACTCAGGTTCTTGCTTTGGAATATCTTCATTCCTTAAATATTATTCATAGAGACTTGAAGCCAGACAATTTGTTGATAGGTCCAGAGGGTCACATCAAGGTTACAATTTCCCTTTTGCTTCCCAAGTTAATGGTGCATTTTATTTTTCAAAAAGTGCCATACTCGTTGCAGCTTAGTAACACCATATTGATCTACAGATCCCCCCCACACACACCCTCACCCACCCACCCACGCACACACAATTACATATGATGAGTTGTGGATCTAATATTTGTTGCTGCAAGTGAGGCGTGAAATTTTACCAGCATGTATAAGTTCATTAGCTAAAAAATTAATTGGCTTTTTTTTGTCATGGAAAACAACTTTGGCATGCATCTGTGTTACTTGCACCTTTTATGCACTAAAGCTTGGTAGTTAGTAGTTATTATCCTGTGACAAATTTATAACCTTCCACGTTCCTTTCCCCCCAAAAAAATAGGATTGAATGTGTGTGTATGTGGCGTGTGTGTGGCATGCGCGCGCACATGTACATGTATGTATGTGTGTGTGTGCGCGCCTGGTTTTTTGGTTTGGTTCTCACATAACTATATTCTTCCCTTCACAGTTGACAGATTTTGGACTCTCCCAGGCAGGTCTTATCAATAGCACTGATGACTTGTCACGTCCATCAAATTCCACATTTCTTGAAGATGATAAACCAAAAGTACAATCATCACTTAAAAGAGATCAGAGGCAAAAGAGTTCTGTTGTTGGAACCCCTGATTATTTGGCCCCTGAGATACTTCTTGGCATCGAACATGGTGGGAACTGCTGTTCACTCATCTCACATAATACAGATTAAGTTCTTGCTCCATTTGTTGCACTTTAGTTCTTTTGTTCTGCTTGTAGGTTCAACAGCTGACTGGTGGTCTGTTGGTGTGATTATGTTTGAGCTCCTTGTTGGCATCCCACCTTTTAATGCAGAACATCCTCAGGTATCTTTAATTATACAGGAAAATCAATACGTTATAACTTATAAGAGTTCTTTACATCAATGTTATTGAATGTCCAAGAATTATCTTTTAAGCCGGTAGTAGATTTTGCAACAATGTTATAAGCCTGTAGAAGCTCTTACATCACTTCTTGAGGTTTTCAATCTTCTATCATTGCCAATTTCGCAACTTAACAGTTGATCCATTTCAAATTGTAGTTATTTCTCTTTTCAACTTGGCTTGAGTTTTATTCGATACAAAGTTCTGCAGGGTTGTATGTGGGTTTCATTTTATCATCATCATTACTACTACAGCGCCTTAATCTCAACTAGGTGGGGTTGGTGTCATTAAGTTTATTGCTTAAATTTAATTATCAGTATAAATTCATGCAAAAAAGAGCAGCGGCCATTTTTTTTACGCCAGATGCCCTTTATCATAAGAAGGAACAATGAAACAAAAATTCTAAAATATGGAGTTGTCATTATCATAGGTTATTTCCACATGCATGAAAAGTATCATTAGATGACATTACTTGAGATATTTTCTATTGTCATGTCCATTACATAATTGAAGTTGCAGGACAAACATGCAATTCATGTAACATAAACAATGTGGGTTTCATATGTTTTTGTGTCTTTTACTTTTTATAAAAATGTATGGAGTATACATTTAAAACTCTTCACTTTGATACATGATATAGAGGTCAAAGTAGCCGGTATTGATTTATAGATTGTCAGATAAATATATAGAGCTTTCTCTTTCCTAAAAAAAGAGCTTTCTCTTGAATGATGTTTGAGCTAGTGTCTGGGATATACTTGAGTATTTTATTTACTTGTGTATTTTTTATTCATTTATTCTGGAGCGGGCATCTCTGTGATTGATGTGAGTCTAACTTTTTCCATAACTTGCAACTTTACCATGGTAAATGATTATATCTCGGTGTGTTATACAGCAAATCTTTAACAACATCATGAATAGAGACATACCTTGGCCTAAGGTACCAGAAGAAATGAGCTTTGAAGCACATGATTTGATTAACAAGTACGTTATAATTGCTTAAATTCTTTTGTTAATGCTGGGATGCATTTCCTACACATTGTGTGTATGGGGTTTATACGGACACTATCTTTTCTGTAGGTTGTTGTACGAAAACCCCAATCAAAGATTAGGTTCAACTGGGGCTGGAGAGGTTTGGAAGTTTCCCTAGTAATGCACTCTGGATATGATTTGACTTTAGAAGAATTACTTCAATTTCTTATGCCCTTCTTATACCTAGGTAAAACAACATCGTTTTTTTAAGAATATCAACTGGGACACACTGGCAAGGCGAAAGGTCTCTCTATCTCTCTCTCTCTCTCAAAATATACTTTGGCTATGCTTAAAATCCGTAAAATGGTTGGGAAATGAAAAACTGCTAAGGAAACTGGATTTGTCAAGGTCGGTTTACCTTGGAAAATCTGGAGGACAATCAGATCTGATTATAACTTTATACGATTTTACATATATCTAGAATTCTTATTCTTTAGATATTTAAACACAATGGGTTTGAACAGATATCCAAAAACAAAACACACATATCCAAAATTGTTAGCATATCAAGATGTTTGGTAAATAAAATCTTGGAGTATGATTTTGTCTAGCACTGTTTTCTTTTTCAGCATTTTGACAAAAACAACCATTTTGACGGGTCAGAAACTCAGAATGCTATATGAAGAGTTTGGCAAAATGCTGATTTGAAAATGCTTAATAAGACCAACATTTTGGCATTAACATTTTAGTTTTACGGAGAAGCTTTTAGCATTCTGCCAAGTTTCCAAGCATGTTTTTAAAAACTTGTAATTACTACGGGGTAAGTGCTAGTCAAAACTTCTGATACAATCTAACTGTTAACAAGCTAAGTTTCAACCAGTTTGCAATTCCCTCCAAATTTTCTTTCCTTCTAAATTTATCATATATATATATATATATATATATATATATATATATATATATATATATATATATTTACCTTCTCATATTCTTTCCCCATACTTGTTCCAAACAGACCCCCATGGGCTGAGGCTATTATATTATATATACTCAGGGCTAATATTCCTCGTATATTCATGCCTTTGTTAGGCTGCATTCATACCAGCTGCAGAACCACACGACACTAGTTATTTTATGAGTCGTTACATTTGGAACCCAGAAGGCGAAGATTTTAATGGTGGGTGTAGTGAGTTTGATGATACAAGTGAGGCTGGGAGTGTATCATGCAGCAGCAGTTCTTATCAGGATGAAGAGGTATATATAATCATGCTTGTTGGCCACACACATACACTCAATATCTGTACACGCACAAACATTGAGTGTCTGTGGTTGTCTGTTTTTGCCTTGGTGTACACCAAGTGTACACCAAAGGTGTACACCAAATGGGGTTCCCCAACTATTTTTCTAAATTCTTAGGTGAACCTAAGGTCCATGGTAGAAGCCGCACTCTACTTTTTGGCACCTTAGGTTTAGTTTGTTGGGAATGTACTGATATAATCAAATTATTCAAATATTCCCTCTCTGTAAACTATTCTCCACAAAGTATGAGACTTGAGAAAATAAAAAATGTGTACTTGAAATTTATAAGAAGAGAGAATAGTATGAAGCACATATAAACAGAACCCAGTGAAATCCTACAAATCTAAGCCCGAAAAGGATGTGTGTATGCAGATCTTATCCCTACCTATTGAGGTAGAGAGATAATATGACACACTCCCTCCGTACCTAAAAGAATTTCTTGACTTCCTTTTTCAGTTGTCCTAAAAAAAGTTCTCATCTCTTTTAGGGAAAGAAATTAATATTTCATAGAGTTTTCAATATATAAATTCATTTTTTCTTAAATTCCATGAAAAAACAATCGAGAACATCTTTTTGGAATAGAGGGAGTAAGTAGTACATAAAATGGATGATCCTTTTAGATATAGACGGAAAAGAAAAGTGAGAAAATGATTTATGAGCACAAGGAGTGTATTTTGTGCAAATTTACATTATAGATACGTTGGGTTACATCATAAATCACACTACATTTCATTACATATTGTTAGAATATAAGAAAAATTTCTTGGGCCAACCATAAGCTTGAGCTTTTGGTTGAGTTGGTTCCTTGACACATATTTACATGCAAATCACTACAGGCTTGCATAATTACTGCTTAAATGTTGAAAGTTATTTCACATTGTGGCATTTTACTGTTCTACTCATTGAAACAGGGGGAAGAATTTGGATATTTTGCAGAGTTTGGTTCTGTGTCCCCCAACATGAAATATGCCTTCAATAATTTTTCATTTAAGGTCAGGATCTGCCAGCTCAAATTACTGTTAACTTTTCATCATCTGAGATTTTTATTTTTTATCTTTTTTTTCCCCTCAGAACTTGTCACAACTGGCTTCCATCAACTATGATTTGGTTGTAAAGGGGTGTAAAGAATCAACTGAAGTTACCAAGAAGCCATCCACTGCATAATAGTAATGAACTTGAACCAATGAAGAGACCCCTCCTTTTTTGCCTATTAAGTTTGGAAGATTGTGGTGAGAATTTTCCCCTCATTTTGCTGTTTGTCTATTTAAAAAAAGTAGAGCTTTTTGAATACAAATTTTGTATTTTATTATACAAAATTCAACCAAATGTAGTCTCTGATCATAAGAATTGTTAGTTTTAGCACAACAATGTTTAAACTTGCATTTCGAAATAAAATTACTAATATTTTTTTCGCACAAATATAAGTACTAACCATAATTTTAATATAAATCATAGTTAAAATTAATAAGGGGATATAGGGTATGATGAAATGAGGACCAAAATAGTGACACTCAAAGAGGTTGTGGACAAAGGGATAATTTTGTCTAATCCCATGGGGTATATGGGTTATGAAGCCTTAATGAAAAATAAAGACATACTCTCTCCGTCCTACTCTCTTTGCCCATTTACCTTTTGGTACACCATCCAATACACTTCTTTAATCCATTTTATCTTGTAATTTGTATATTAAAAAATTATAGAAATTATATATTAATAATCTATATGTTAAGACAAATCAAACAAGATCACACATGACTATATTTAGGCTTACACATTGAGAGAATTTGATGAGTCAAAGTACTTAGATGAACAGTTCCAAAAGTCAAAAGTGGACAAAGAGAGTGGGACGGAGGTAGTATTATTTTACCCTCGATCTTCCCATAATACCCCATACCCTAAACAAAAAGTGGGCATATTCAAATCAATGAATAGTGTAAAGTAGGGATAGATGTGTCTTTTTTAAGGAAAGAGTTTTTAGGACAGAAAGAGTATCATTTATGGAGTATTTCGCACAATTTTATTTTATTTTTCTTAAACATGTTGCTTACTCTTTTGCACTAAACATGTACTCCGTAGCTTACATAAACTTATGCTCTTTCATTGGAAAATACTTGGAGAACCCCACTTGGTGGAGTGTACACCAAAAAAAATAGACATACACAAATACTCTATGTCTGTGAACCCCTAGCACTCATCTTTTTTTTATTTTCCAAAACTTTTGTTAGAATTGAACTCACAAAAACCATTTTTGGGAGGGGGGGGGGGGGGGGGGNTAAAACGAAGCAATAAAGTCAAAACAGAACCAATCTCTAAACGAAGGCATTATGTTCGTAGTTGATAGAGATTTAAAACTTAGAAGCGTGGCATATATAGCTTATGGAGGCATTGCATGCACAAGTGTAAGAGATTTATTCCTTCACTCAACTTGCATGTTTACATACTCCTACCGTCCAGAAATAAACTTCTCGTTGACTATTCACATAGTCAAACTTTATTTATTTTGTTAGCTTATTCTCGTCACCCATTTGATAAAATAATATAGTCATGTCACATCTAATTTTGTAGATCTTTTGATATAGTTTTTTAATATGTAGTTTTAATTTTTAAATTTTACACCATTTTTCATATAAAATGATTTGAAAAATAACTTTGGTCAAACATCGTAACGCACAACGAGAAGTTTATTTGTGGACGGAGAGAGTATTAATGAGCCTATGGCTGCCTATCTAGTGTAGAAGTGTTGAATTGTGAATTTATCAAACCTAATTGCAACTTTGTTTTTTTCCTCCACATTTCCCATTTCTTGAAGTAACCTCCCCTGTAACTACTAACCACTACCATTTCATCTCATCACACCTCATGTTCTCATTTGAAGTATTTTGATCACAATTAAAAAAACATTTGCTTTTATAAAAATGTTGCATTCAAGGAAAGTTTTTATATCATTTTTTTATTATGAGATCAGAATGTATTGATACTCAAGATATTATTCATACGAGAGGAAAGTTGAAAAATGAATGTATTATGCGAGCAAGGCGTTGTGAATCGTTAGGCCTATAATCATCTGAAAAAATAACTGACATCATATTTTGGATCACATTCTATCAAGTTTGTCACTAACCAACTCATGCATCGGTTCTAATGTCATGAAATAATCTCCCTAGCTAGTGGCGAATGTAATTTTACATTCTAAAAGGCACTATTGTACTAAAATTATTGAAATTTAAGGGAGCAAAAAGAAGACTTGTAACGAAGGTAATGAGAAGCGACCATTTGCAACATGGAATGAGAGAATTCAAATGATTCATCTCTTTGAATCATTTTAGAAACACTCCCCGGCCGGTCCCTACTAAAATTAAAAATATTAATTTTTAGAAATACTCCGTAATAATTATTACCGTCTTAATATTGATTACAATTTTTCCCCCTCACCAGTCGACAATTTTTATTTAATTATGCGTTTTCATTGATTATTTTATAAATAAAATATTTTCTATTACCTCTTATTTTGTAGAACTTTTGATGTATTTTTTATTGATGTACTAATTTGTTTGGTAAATCCCAATTTGTAATCAAAATTGAGATGAAGAGAGTACGTATGATTGTCACAACCTTGATGTCATACAAATTTAATACCTTTATATGTCAAATTTATTTTTTTTATAATTTAAGAAATGATCAATGTGAATTACTTATTCTTTTGATTTTCTTTTAGAGAAATAAGAAACTTATTTTGAAACAATTCAAAAAAGAGTGTAGAAAGTTATTTTTGGATCTTTTCCTAAAGGACAAACTTATTCTTGAGAGAGGTAAATTGAGCTTTCAAGCACTTGAACAGAGTCTCCATCTGATACTTACAGAAGCTATATGTTAATCATATTTATCTTCTAGCGTAGGTTCTAGACATTGAACTCATATTTTACCCCCCTGGCACCCTTTATTCTGCTAATTCTGCAACGACAACGGTCTTTTTATTTTTTTACTTCCTCGGTCTTAATTTTGATAACAATTTTTCTCTCATCTCAATAATTTTTGTTATTGATTATTTAATAAAATAAAATATTCTTATCGTTCCTTATTTTGTAGAATTTTTAACATAATTTTTTAATATGTCATATTTTATTCATATACTAATTTATAAATAAAAAAGTTTTTAAAAATGAGACATTTTATCTCGTAAATCCCAATTTGTAGGGGTGTTCATCGGGTCAAACCCGGACCGGACCGGACCGGGACCGTACCGGGACCGAATAAGGAGCATTTTGTGGACCGAGGACCGGACCGATTAAGCTAAGGACCGGACCGGTAAAACCCGGACCGGACCGGGACCGGACCGAATAAAGGTCATTTTTATTTTTTTTAAAATTTGATTTTATTTATTTAATTTTAAGTATTCAATTGAATAAAAATATAACTACAACTAATTTTTAATTATAACATGCACTAAACATAGTCATACATAGTTGTTTTGAATATTTTTTAAAGAACTTCAAACAAAATACTCCGTATATAACTTCCGTATTACATAAAATTTGTTCGTAATTTTTATTTTACATACATAATATTCTTCTTCTTAGTTCTTTTTTGTTTTTTTTGTAATATTTTTTGAGTTTTTGATTTATTTTGACAAACGGATCCATTTTTTAGTATTTTGTTCCTGAGATTGTTCACATTGTTAGTTTTTGCGGATTAGCTTTTCATTATTGATAAAATATAAATTTAAGTGATCGTATTGGTAAATATATGAGAAATGCATTAGATCGCTAATATAAAGGTAATGTTACTTTTTTACACTTTTATATTAAAAATATTTCAAAATCATTATAACTCATACTCCGTATATTATTTTGAATTGAT